GACGGAAATTTGAGGGACAAGATGAAATCTTGAACCGCCGGAAAATTCGTCCTATTGAATTCAAATTTTGGTTATCTTACTTTCCGCCAACCAGATGAAGCGGAGTGAAGATAACAGCATCGATGAAGAATCATCATTAGCCTCCAGAGTTTTTTGGACTAGAAGACCTTTCTCACCGATCGTCCGTCATTCCTCCACCAGATTCAGCTGATCCCAGTGCATACTGCATAAACTACGACACTGACGCTGTCTTACAACAGTTCTACAATAACAAGTTAGACTAGTGAAGAACAAGCCTCTTAGTGAAGGAACAACAAACTCACAATTTCGAAATTCACATTATACTCAAATCCGGGCACTCTATCAGAGATAGGTGTCGTCAGCTGGACTGGCGAAGCAATCCCTACAGCAGTCGCTCAACCTAAGCCCAGAGCACACTACTCAGGCACTGTGGATAGGTGAATATCTACTGAGTTTGACTGTCCCTTCCACTTGCGGAGTCATCATCTGGACCTAGGCCAGGTTGTGATCTGCTTTGCGCACGACGCTTCAGAATAAAAATAAGCAACTCATTAGTGGTTGGTTGTTTAATTGATTGGTTGGTATCTGTACTGTATTTCGAAAGAACTTCAGCTTGATAGCTCCTAGTTATTGCTCCGGCATCAGCTTATGGATACACAATGAAATCAGGTGACTCTACCATGCTATCGTTCATTGGTGATCAAATGTTTGAGGACAAAGTGCAGCTGCGTGATCTTTCCGGTACACCACTTCTCGGCTACGGTGTAGGTAACACCAGTATAAAATTCACTTTTCCGAGAAACGAACAAAGCTTCTGTGAAGCATATCCGAAATGTGGCCTGAAGGGAAAATATCAATTACTTTCAGGCCGATTTTGTGAACAGTCGGCAAAATGTTTGGTGTTAACTATGCAGATTTAAACCAATTTCAGAGAACATCTTTGCAATGTACTACTCATGAGGTTGCTGAAAATCCGTCAACAGCAAGCTTATGAGTAGTACATTACAAAGATATACATGTATCGCGATATCTCGAATATCGTAGCGACTGAAACATGAGGCAGCCTGGTGCGGCACATTCAGTTGCCTAAGAACGTCATAAACGAGAGATTCAGCTGAGTTCCGGGTGAGTCTCTCGAAAAAACCGAATTAGTTTGCAAATGAGTGTATGTTCGCCAATTTAAGAGTACTTCAGTTGAATTAAGATGGAGGCTTCGTTAAGGGAGCTTTGGAAATGGCATCATCACAACCGAAATGTCACACAAATCATAGAGTTGGTGCCACCGACTAACACACGAAATCTCAACCGAAACTATGCATTTTACTTTCCAAATTCGCCTGTAGCACGTAAAGTAAAGGGTGCCGGAAAGAGGGCATCGACCGACCGGCTGGTTTCAAGATCAAGATCTTGGATTCCAAAAAAATCCCACTGCAACAGAATCGGCTGACCAGTTTTGTGAGACATTATCTTGTCGTTCGGCGCAACCTGACCTTCGATCGATCATTTCCTTCCTTGAGCTTCAAACAGCTTGATTACTGGAAAAAATTACATGCAAATGCTAGAGTCAGAAAAGGTGACAAAAGGTTTTATGCATACTGTCTGCTTCAGAAATTTCGAGAAAGTAAGATAAAGCGACATCTCAGCTGCTTGTTTACCTCCTAATTTGGCGTTAAACAGACCACTCGCGCCGAAGATATTAGTCACACAGTGAATTTTTGACACAGGTTAGAACAAATCTGACTGACGGTTACTGATTTGCATTACTGTAGTGGATAACGTCTATGCTGTAGATTTATGAATGCGTCTGAACGGGAGTTTTGGCAATTTTGCCCTCGCGTTATGCAAGTCCTTTGGGATTGTGGAGCGGACAAACTTCGCTTTCCGCAACAAATACATGGACGCGCATCGGGCTGTTTTGGGGCAGAATTGCCACCTAAGAATCGTGGCAGCTACTCATAAGAAGTAGCTTTATGTGACGCTTTTAACGTATGTTATGTACTTTTCTTTAGAACCTCAAAGTAATGGATACGAAATGGATAGTCTCCTTTATCCAGCTGTGCTCCTTTTCGTTAGAACTGCAAACTGATAGATACGGTGTGCTCCCTCCACTTGGTGCGAATTCTGAAGCATGCCCAATAGCCATCAGGACTGAAAGAATACGCCTGCTTTTATCGTCTAATGGTTATTCAACAGAAATTTGACACAATTTCACACAGACAGACGATTGTTTGTAGTTTATGGGACGGCAAAGTTCAATCCCCAGTTATTGGTTCGACCAGATCGGCCTAACAAAAAACACAGAGCTTATCATTGTACCACCGTGGGTGCACACCCAGGAACAAGGTTTGCAGAAAGATAGGGGGAACTTTTTCCAAGTCGTGAGTGACTGTTTTGAATAGAAGAGTGTGGCACGAAGAACCTCGATTTCAGTGTCCCTCTTAGAACAGGCCGTTCTCCGGATCCACCGTGTTCTTCTTGATAACACGAATGAGTTGAAGTCATTTTATGAAAAAAAAACATCATGGACGTAATCGCTGCATGCTTTCTCACCAGCATCTATTTTAATTACCATTCGGGGGGGGGGGGGGGGGGACGGACTGTATTCTTTTGAAGACGCAACTGCTTTGCGCGCCAAAATTTGAGCGGATCGTACGCACCGGAGTGTCTCAAGTGTATGTCTTTTATAACTTCGATGACATGTTCGATGAGATGTTCTTCTACAACGGCCTGAACTTAGTGACCAAATTTTCAAAATGAGAACAAATCAATGTTTGTGGTGAACTGAACGCTTGAGTTAGGTGTTCTGTCAACTATTGTCATATCCATACGCATCCGGAAAGATGTGGGAAGGGATCAGCAATTTTGAGTCAATCTCAGTCGCTTGTGTGGGTAACCAAACGATAATGACGTTTAGGAGGTTTGTGGACAAAAGTACAGCGCTGATTTCAATGTGTCGTTGGGCAGCCTGACTGATAATTTGTGGTAGAACGACGAACCCCCAAAATTTCCACTGGTCAAAATACCAATCCATCAGACAGCTGCAAAAAAACGTTGAGAACGCGGCTTTTTCAAAATTCTCCAAGTTCCAGTGACTGATTTACGTCCATTAGAGGCTAAACTGATATTTCTGCTATCTGTGGAGTGTTTACGCACACCACTGTGGTCTGTAGAGTGCTCCCACTCTCCTAGAACAGTTATATTGGTAAGTCCACATGAGTTCGTATGTGGGGAAACAATGAAGCCGAGTTTTGCTCCAAGTGGAGCTGGTCAG